CAGACTGTGATCAGACTGTGTCCTGGGCCCATTTCCACCCTCCAAAGGCTCCCTGAGTCCTCTAATAGGACTAGGGTGGGACCCAGATGGGAACAGAGCCTGGAGAGGTCAGGCCCCAACAGGGTGGATTAATCATTCCAGCCATCACCCTGGCAAGGACAATGTGACTCATACTGAGCCAGGACTGCCCATGGCAAATTGGCAGATGTTTGTCACCACAGGACCAAACTTCTGTACTCATACACTCAAGGTATGTTTACTCCTTGGTCATGGAATTTGTTTATAGTCTTCATGGCTGGGCAAGTAGCTCAATCTCATGGAATACCTGCCCAATGATGCTAGGTTTGGTTTTAAGATGGTAAATATCTGTAGGGTTATCTCAAAGAAACTAAGACTTGGCACTAACAAAAAAAGTCTCTCTTTAACTATGTGACATCGCAAAACACCTGTGTGGTAGGCCTGAGGAGAGTGTTGTAACCTTAACCCTACTGACATTTGAGTTTGGTCTCCCTATTTCTGGGCTACTCTAACAAACATACCATAGGGCAAGTGGCTTATACAACACTTAATGAACACAGTTCTGGGGATTGAGAGTCAAGGTGTTGTCTCATATCTGGTGAGAACTGCTTCTTGGTTTGTAGATGGTTGTCATTATACCCTTACATGATGGAGAGCAGAGACAACAGCATCTTGCATTTTTGTTATTTGTTTGCTTGCTTTTTGTTTGAGACAGGCTCTTTCTATGTAGACCAGGCTGGTCTCAAACTCTTGATCTTTTTGGCTCAGAAGCCTGGCTTGTGTGTCTTCTTATATGGTGTTCAAGTTTCATTCTGTCACTGATAAAAAACAGTCTGAGAAAACAACATAGCAGGAGGAGAATGTTTATTTCAGCCTACAAGTCATACATAGTCTGTCATTGAGGGAAGTCAGGGCAGGAACTCAAGGCAGTAACTTGAAATAGAAACCATAGCAGAATGCTTCTTGCTAACTCACTCACTCACTCACTCACTCACTCACTCACTCACTCACAAGTTAGTGCTCAACTAACTCCCCTACATGGCCCAAAGCTACTTTCCTAGGGATAGTGCTGCTCCCTGGGCTAGACCTTCCTATATCAATTAGAAATCATGACAATTTCCCACAGACACACCCATAGGCCAATCTGATCCGGGCAATTGCTCAATTGAAATTCCCTTATCAGATGACTCTAAACTATCAAGTTGACACTTATAACTAAGTAAGATTTCACTCACCAAGATTCCATCTTTAAAACCTGATTACTTAACAAAGGCCTTGCCATTTCTTGAGATCATAACTTTATGGAGAAAGCAACATGTGGGTAAGTAGGGGTTAATCAAATAATTTGGCTGGACCTTTAACACAGAATCTGTTCCTACCCACTGGAAAATGCATCTGTATCTCTGGTTTCTACCATAGGCTTATCAGTGGTGTCTGTATCATAGAGGTATCAACCAAACACATCTCTAGATGTGCTCAAGTAGCGCTGGACAGGTGAGGGGCTGAGAGAATGCCTCAGGAGGAGTCTGTGAACTCTCTGGAACAAGTGTTCATTTCTCATGGCATATGACATGTCCCATTAAGCTCTCCACCTTACTTTTAGGGCTATAAGAGGACACTCAGAGGAATCAGGGAACAGTCTCCTTAAAAAGAGAGAGTGTGTATCTCCTGAGCAGGAAGCCTCCATCCATCGTGTCTGTGTCTGCATGTACTCTGCTTTCTTTCCTCCTCATTTCCACTCTGGAGGTCCTACTGTTAAATGGGGGCAGTCCCACCCCAATCCCTGATATCATATGGCTATCTGTCTTAGTGGGATGCTTTCACTATGACCTGCAGAGTTTGCATCTCCTGACCTTTCCTGTGTTGCAATCTCAAGTCCACATAGCAGCATTAGAAGATGGATCTGTAGGAGGTGGTGAGGTAATGCCAGCAGAGACATTAGGACTGAGATGAGTGTCCTTCCTTACAAGAGACCCTGGAGAACTGCCTGCTCCTTCTACCACAAGAGGGCACAGCTGGAGGCCTTTACTAGATATCCAGCCTGTCTACTTGACCTTGAATCTCCTAGCCTCCAGGACTCTGAGATATGAATCTCTCTGTCTCTGTCTCTGTCTCTGTCTCTCTCTGTCTCTCTCTCTCTCTCTCTCTAAGTGGCCCAGTATATGGCATTCTCTACAATAGTCCAAATGGATAAGACCTTTTTGTGTTCTCTTGGTGTCTTTTAAAAGTCAAGAAGCTTCTTATTGAGAAGCAGGTATTGTATGGATCAATGTTATGATCCATGGAGGTCAAGTGATCAATGTTATGATCCATGGAGGAGGTCAAGTGCTCTCAGTTCAGAAGTTAGGGCACTAGTAACTTTGAGATGACCACCTAAACTTTTCCAAACCCAGTTTACACATGTGTAAATTGAAGGCCGATGGGAATGAACACTTTTCTTCCATAGGTTTTTGTCCAAAAGAGATGATACATGGAGAGGAGTTGAGATTGATGCATTTCATGTAGCTGTCTGTTAAATCCTGGTGGTCAATAGCTTTGTATTGACTCAATATGGTGCATGACACATGAGCAACTGGTGTACAATAGGATGTGCAGAACTGGATGGAGTCTGTTGCTAGATGTTCTTTTCAGCCTGGTCCCACTGCCATTCAGCCCCAAATAAAATTGCTAGCCGATGACTAGGGCTTCTTATTGGCTAGCTTTGTCTTAATTATTAACCCATTTCTATTAATCTATCTATTTCCATGTGGTCTTGGCTTAATGAAGAATGCCCAGACCTGTTACTCCTTTGGCAGCCACATGGTGTCTTCTCATGGTCTCTCTAGTCCTGTCTTTCCAAGTATTCTCCTCATCTCCTACTCCCGCCTATCTTCCCACCTCCATTGACCAAGGAATGTTTTATTCATTAACCAATGAGAGAATGGGCTCCATTAGGAGCCCAAATTTTTCTGAAGTTAAAACTTCTGCTCTGACTCCTTAAAATACCTGTAACTGGAATTAAACATACTCCCTGCCTCATAGAGTTGTTCTGTGACCAAAGGAGTGGGACATATTCACAAGTCAAGGATGGCCCCCATGCCCAGGATCCCTGCCCCTGCTGTTTAATCTCTCTGTAGCACCTCCTGTTCAGGGACAAGACTGCTGGAGGTATGGAATGGCACTTCTTTGATTATGCAGGTATTCAGAATGGAGTCAGGTCCTGGTCAATCCACTGACTTTGGAAAATACTTTAAGTCAAACTGTGTTTACCATACTCACCTTGGAACTCAACTGGGCTCATCTGAAGCTGGCTAGAGACACAACATCATCTTACGGTTGGGTATCATGAGGGAAGATTGCACTATATATGTTTAATCTGAAGAGATCAAATTCAAAATTCAGGTAGACTTGGTCGCCAAAGTGCTTGTGGATCCCCAGCACCCACTCACAATCTGAGCATATGTGGCAGCCCCCCTGAAATCCCAGTGCTCAGGTGGTAGAGACAAATGATCGCCTGTGCAAACTGGCTAGCCAGATCTATCAGTCTGGGAGACCCTGGCTCTGTAAATAAAGTGGAGAGCAACTGAGGCAGACATGAGACATCAGCCCCTGGCATCCACGCATGTGCACACACTCTTACATGCCTGTGATTGTGCAAAACTGGCATAGCCCACACACATACCACACCCAGGGGGATAACACCACCATCTCCTGAGTGAGTGCTGCTTTTGCTCTTCCATAAACTTGAGCTGGCACATCAAGCCATTAGGGCCAGCTCAGGGGCTGTCTGAATTGTGTTCCAGTAAAAAAGATGCTACAGACCCCGCTGGAGTGTCTCACTGATGGTCTCTGAGTCTGAAAGGGGAAAATGTCCTGGCTGTCTTGATGAGACTGGGAAGACCTGACAGTAGCAGACACTGTTGGCCTTGAAGAAAGCAGAGCCACCTTGAGCCTTGGCTGTGAAGGGAACTCATGAACTCACGGCAGAAATCTAAGAGGAGTCTCTCCAACCTTGTTAGTAGCATATGTTGTGTTAATGAAACCCATCTCCTGACCTGCAGTGAGTGGGAAGTGTAACCAGGTTCATGGTCAAGTCTTCTACATCAGCAGGATGAGTGAGCAGAAAACACCAAGCTTACCGCATGAACTCACAGACATGGGTGGCCAAAGCTTCCTTTCATTTCTTCTTTGTCTAGACTGGCCTCAGGAAGCATGGAGTCCAGCTAGCAGCCTTTTCAGGTTTGCCTGTGTTCCAGGAGTCTGGCTTGCCACTCTGATCCTCTCCGTTTTAAGTTTTCTGTCTGAGACCAGGCAGGTGTAGGGAGCCTGAGAGGCTGAGGCTGACCAGGGTCTTCCAGGAAACCACTCCTGGAAGCCAGTTGTTATTCCCTAGTCACAGCTTATTGCTGGGGCTCCGTGTAGGAAATGGCTTGTGCCTACCCCACTCTCAGAGTCAAGAATCCCGGGTGGGGGTGGGCGCCACAGTCCCCTTTGCTCAGATCCACCAATGCCTGTTTTCTTCTCTGCCACATCCCTTCCTTCTTCCTTGGGTTGAGTTTAGGAGGCAAGGAGGGGAAACTTGCAACTTCAATGCTTCATTCTTTATCTCTAGCTCATCGTGTCTCTAGGGATGGGGCTTGTGGAAGAAAGAAGCCAGAATCGTACAAACAGCATAGTTTATTTTTGCCTAGTGTCCTCTGCCTCGGAGGCAACAAATACCAGAAAAGTTGGCTAGGCAAAGGAGATTTGGTGAGAAGTGAAGTGGGAATGATTTCCAGGAGAGAGAGAGAGAGAGATAGAGAGAGAGAGAGAGAGAGAGAGAGAGAGAGAGAGAGAGAGAGAGAGAGAGAGAGAGAGAGAAGCCAAAACCCTAATAACTTTAGTTTACACTGTGGAGATATTATCTCGCCATGCATTGGTTAAAGCCATGGCCAGCATTTCTACCATGGCTGCTGTCTTAATCAGTGTTTTATTGCTATGAAAAGACACCATGGCCAAGGCAATTCTTGTAAAAGAAAGCATTTAATTGGGGCTTGCTTACAGTTTCAGAGGTCTAGTCATTATCATCCTGGTGGGGAGCGGGGTGGGGAGCACGGCAGCATGCAGGCAGACATGGTCCTAGAGAAGTAGCTGAGAATTCTACATCTGGATCCACCGGCAGCAGCAGGATGAGAGAGCCACTGTGTCTGGCTTGAGCATCTGACACGTCAAAGCCTACCCCAGGGATACACTTCCTCTAACAAGGCCACTTCTACTCCATCAAAGCCACAACTCTTAATCCTGCAAGCAGTGCCACTCCTTGACGATAGCCATTCAACTGTATAACCCTATGGGGGCTATTTGTATTCAAACCATCACAGCAGCCATGTCAGACACCTATGTGTCACCCTGGCTCCAGTGTCTGAATTGTTAGGTGTGGATCCAAACTTTCCACGAGAGATGTAAGTTTTCAGAGGAACTGTAAAAGTTAGGATGTATGGAAAAGCAAAGGCTGGACCTGCTGCTCTTGCTGAAGCTAGAGAGTAGTAACTGCTTTAACTTAAAAGTATTAACTCAGAGTTACAAAGGTGTGCCATGGCTGTGTATAAAATGACTCTAAAGCAAGATCCCCGCTTGGGAGATAACTGCATAGAGAGGCCATACTGGACACCATGTAAGTTCTGTTTTTCTCTCGTTTAAGTTTCACAGAAGCGCCCACTTTCTTCCCAGGTCTTGTAACTCCAACCACAGTGGTTGGCTAGCGTGGGCATTGGGCTCAAGTTGGGCCAATCACAGATGCTCATATCTTCACCCACTGGTTGCTTGTGAACATGTGATTCTGAGTGGCCCTGTCTGAGTGAACCCGCTTTTGAGGAGTTCTAAGATGGAGTTGATTAAGGGTATATGTCGGGGGGTCATGCAAATGAGGAGGGAGCTGAAGGCACTGAGCCCAGGGCTGTTGGTGACCTTCTTTCAGTCACATGCAGAAAGGGTAGTATGGCATGGGATTCAGGAGGATCGGGGCATGCTGGTGGAACTCTCATCTTTGATTCCATCTCTACCCCCAAACTGTCTATGGCTGGCGCATGTGACCCATAGGTTACCTTTTCTTGTCAAAGCCAGCCTGGGTTACTCTGTGTGTGTGTGTGTGTGTTTGTGTATGTAATGTGTTCACATTTGCACACATGTGTAGAGGCCAGAGGTCAACACGGACTACTAAGTGCTCTCTTCAGTTGCTCTCTACATTATCATTGAAATGAGGTCTGTCACTGAGCCTGGAGCTCATTGATTGGCTGGTCAGTGAGCTCCAGAGAGCTGCCTGTCTCTGCCTCTCCAGTCCTGAGGTTACAGAAACAAGTCCCTTAGCTTGTCTTCTCATGTGCATTCTGGGGAGGGAACCCATGTCCCCATGCTTGTTCGGGAAGCATTTTCCAACTGAGCCATTTCTCTGGTCCTGCTCTGGGTTGCTTTTCTGCTGACTAAGGACAGAGTCAGCCTTTCTTAAGGACTAATTATGTCTTATCATCTAGGCATAGCACAGGGCAAAGAAAGAAAACTAATTTATAAGGGCCTAAAATCAGGCAGACTTGGGGTGCGCCATTTGTCATGCCTGCAGTCTTGGGCAAGATGCCCAACGTCTCCAAGCTCTAGTTTCTTCATCTATAAAAGGAGGGATGTATGGCAGGAAGTCTCCTTTGAAATCCCAAGAATATGTATGGACTGGTCATTTTTGTTTTCCCAGAGTCACCTTTCAAAACTTCACCTCAAACCCAGTTTATTAAGTTTATATTGGGTACTAACTCTTACTTGGAAATTCCTCATTCTGTAGATACACAGTTCTCCTTCCCTGACTGACGCACAGGTCTGTGAGTGGAGAAGGTATTCATTTCAGAATGTTTTACTATAGAAGAGAAGAAGCCTGGTTTGGGGTGATGGATCAGCCTTTTTCCCTGCAGGGGGATGTCTGCAGCTAACCAGAGAGGAGGGGAACAGAGACACAGGACAGAAGGAATGAGTTTCCTGATGTATAAAACTAGGGTGACTGAACCCCGACCCATCCTGAGTCAAGAGCACATGACATATACTCATTTCCCTCCACTCAAGCTACTTATATTGAGTTTTGTCACTGGCAGCCAATCCTGATTTGTCCTCAGGAGAGTCTTTGGTGATGTTAGTTTCTTTGGAGTGTGGTAACCGAGTCTGTTCCCAGTTAAGATGGCAAATGCCACCGTAGTCAGCCCAACGTCACACCAGAGTTCACACATGTAGGGAAAGTTGCTCACTCTCAGAAAAGTGAAGCTAGAAGACAACTGAAGGACTCACAAGGAATAGGAAGTGTGTTGCTGTCTGCTCAGGGTCTGGGAAGGAGGAAGAATGGGTAAGACAATGGGTGAGGTTGGGGGGAGGGGAGGTGACCTGGACAGGCAAAGAAGTCACAGTAGCACACACTACAGTATCCTCTCTGGATCCCTGATTAGGGGATGTTCTTGAAGGAAGGCCCCTGTTATAACTTCCTGATAATGGCACTATGTCTTTACCCTCTGGAGATCCCATGACCTGGAGAGGTACCCTTCCTCCGTTGTTGCCCCTTGGGAAAAGCCAGACTGTTCATCACCTCTGCTCCTGCCCTTCCATCCGGGAGGCCAAAGTTGTCCAGGAGCACAGCAGGGCATCGCCACACAGCCTCTCCTTCCCAGACACTTCCATCACCTGATTTCCAGGTACAGACACCGGATCTTTACCTCTCCATCTAGGATTCTGTTTCATGCCTTTGGTTTCTTCTGACATTTGTCTGGGCTCGGGGAAACATTTTCCTTCTCATCCTGGTAGAACTACTTCACTGAAGGAGAGGAAATGCCCGAATCAAATCCAAAGTGGAAGGATCCAGGAAAGGTTACCTGCTACTGAGCAGGATAGCACTAGGACAGCGTGAGAAAAGTTCTTTGTAGAGTTCTGGAGGGAGCCTGGCCATCTCTGGGGACATGTGCGGTCTATGTTGCTCTGCGGAGGCTGGAGCCCAAAAGACAGTGCCAATCTAAAGAATTGGAAGAGAGTGCTTCTCAGAAATAGAAACTGTTGTGGCGGTGTGCTATAGCAGTCTCGAATCGTCTCAAATGAACAGGCAGAGCTCAGTTTTGTTCATGTTGCTAAGGAAGGGTCTCTTGTGGAAGGGACTATGCAAGACACTGCATTCTTCATCCAATTTGTCCTTACCACAGCGAGACTATAGAAACCAGGGTGACAGAAACCAAACTTATATTTTTCCCAAGTGTGTATAAGTACTTGCTTTGACAATGAATAAACCAGACAGAGAGGGCTTGGTAAGGTTTCCACCTACCCCTGGTCCATGTTGTGACACTGTAGAGGTTGGAATCTGCTAAAGCTGTTGGGATTGTTGGAAAATCGAGCGAGTGGGAGACAGCATTGAGCATCCCGTCTGTATCGGCTTTTGTTTTCAGGCATAATTGCTTGTCCCTCTGTGACTTTGACTGCATCATGGTCACCCATGATGTCCCACCCTACTTCTCAGACCCTTGCTGAGGCCCACTCCTGCTTTGTTCATAGGATTCCGCAGTGAGGTACCCAGGAAAAGTCCTGGTCCTTCCTCTCTATGGTTTCCATCTCTTGATTGCTAAACCCAAGGATAAAGATGCTGCCATCACACTTGAAGGTCCTTTTGGCATTTGTGACACACTTTCACAGCAAGAACTTCATTCTCTCATTCCATAGATGGATGCTAATTGAAAAGTCCAGTAAGATGGTCAAGGTCACCAGTCTATCTCCTACTCCTAATTTTTATTTTATTTATTGTTAATGTATCTATGTGTGAGTTGGCATGTGTCCACAGTGCATGCGTGGAACTCAGAGGACAGCTGGTAGGAGTTGGTTCCCTTCTTCTGCCGTGGGTTCCAGAGATCACACTCAGGCCTTCAGACTTGTGTAGCAAGTGCCTTGGAGGCATCTCATAGGCCCATCCTACTTTTGATGATGTTATCAAACATCTCACCTCCCTGTTTGAAGTTGCAAGTTCTAGCAGGTAGGAAACTTTGAGTAGATACAGGGATGAAAAAATTAAAAAATCAGTCAGTAAAGTCTTTGTAGCAGGAGAACACACAAAACAAGTCTATAAAACTCTACCTGGCTTTTTATTTAGTATTACGATTTTAGATTTTGGAAACAATTTTACCCTAGTCTTTTAGGCCTTTGTTCCTCTGTTCTTTCAGGGAACAATTTTAGAGGGTAAAGAGCCTGGTTCAGGCTTCCATCTTCCCTCTACTCTCCTCCTCACCTTTACTTCATTATTCAATCAATGTCAGTAACTATTTCTCTGTGACAGAGACAAGGCCAGTGACTGGTAACTCAAAGGTGAATTAAATGCCTCTCCTGGAGGCCTTTGTAGGACCTGTAGACTAGACACAAGAGTTTTAAGCTTGGAGCACCCACCACAAGCCACACAAATGCCAAGGGTAATGAACCCCAATTAAGCAAGCATAGAGGCCTCACTGAATCAACACTTTGAATGTTTTTTTTTGGAAAAGACATCAAATGGGGCACATAGACTAGGTGTACTGACACAACTGGTAATACTGTCTAGGAGACCACTGTTGATGGAGTTTCTTTTCAGCCTGCTCCCACAGCTGCTTTACCCCATACAAGCATACATGAACAGACACTATATTAATCATAAAACTGATGGCTGATGTCTAGGGCTTCTTATTGGCTAGCTCTGTCTTAATTATTAACCCACGTCTATTAATCTAAGTATTTACACATGGTCTTATTTTCCTGGAGAAGGGTCCAGACCTGCTAGTCCTTCCTCTGCTACATGGCTCTCCCCACAGTTTCTCTCTGCTTTCTCTCCTAAGAATTCTCCTGGTCTCCTAGCCCCATCTATCTTCCTGTTTCTATTGGCCAAACAGTGTTTTATTCATCAGTCAATAAGGGAAACATATACACAGAAGGACATCTCCCATCAGACCACCTGAGAGCCATCTGCCACTGGGGGTGGGGAGACAGGTCACTAGTCACTAGCCAGGTGCTGCACGAAGCAAGCCTGTGCAGTTACTCTGGGCAGGCACACTTTGGCTGGCTAATGAGATACACAGAGTGATGGGCTATCCCACCCCAGATGTTTCCGGTGTGTACCATGTCTCCCCCAGTGAGCAGATTGCCTCTGTCTGAGGTCTCCACTGTTGTTTCTTCTGCCCCATATCTGCCCATAAGCCTTTTATTTTTGCCTTAATTCCTTAAGTCGTCCACACCTTTCTGGATTGGGCTCTGACCTCCTTCTTCTATCCCTGTTTTAATTATACCAGGGCTATAATAAGGGCCACAGTGTGAGGATGGGGTTCGATGAGTTTATAGATAGACTCTTGTTACTTACTTGTCTGGAGGTTGGGAAGCCCAAGATCACAGAATCGCAGTGCCTGATGTCTGGTCAGGTCCCATCCTGGCTTGTGGGCTTCTTTTGCTTGCTGTCACTATGGAAAGACAAAGGTTGATCTCTGATATCTGTTAAAAGGACAAAAACATTGATCCTATGGGCTCTGGGAACTACAGTTATAATCTCATTTAATCCGAATTATCTCCTTACTAAGATAAAGTGCATGCAGGGAGCAGTATAAGAATGTGGAGGAGCAGTTCAGTCCTAGCAGCCTTGAACACACACTTTCACACACTCACACATACTCACACTCTCACACACACAAATATTCACAACACTTTCGCATACACTCATTTACACACACACATACTCAAATACTCATACACACATATTCACAGCACTCTCACATATACTTATTTACACATACACACACAAATATTCACAACAGTTTCACATATACTCATTTATACACACACATATTCACAACACTCTCATATACTCACATACTCATTTACACACACACACACACACACACACACACACACACACTCAGCATTGACCGCTTGGTAGATTGATTGACAAAATGTATACCTGCTACAAAATTTATAGTTGACTTTCCCCCTGGGATTTTCTTGCCTTTCTAAAAGTGATCAATCTTTTAAAAATACATTATGTTTATTATAAGACTTAATGGCACATAGTGAGAACTAATGAAAAATGAAAGATACCAAAATAAAAATGAAACTCAATGAAAATCGCTAAATGTATGGAAATAGGAAAAAAGAAAAAAACAAAACAAAACAAACCAGAGAGCCACAACATTTTCAGTACCATCCCAAATCAGCAGAGGAGATATGCCCACAAGCAAGCATAACCAGAAATGTAAGATTCCTCATACATGTTCGGATGCTAATCCAACCAATCGGGACGTTTTAGGTTTTAAATTCTGAGCTGATAACTTTTACAGAGATTTAAATATAGGGTAGCTTTGGCTGGAAGTCATTTCCCCCTCTCACAGGCCCTTTTCTGGTTTCCTGGCATCCAGCTCTCCTCACTCCCACATCAATACGCACATCTAGAAACTGAGACGAGACATGGTGTCGTTCTGAGCTTGGGTTACCTCACTCGACACAGTATTTTGTCTTTTGCCAAGGATCGATCGCTCATGGCTCTCTACAGATGTCCTGTGCCCGCGTGGCCACACACGTGTTTGCTCACTGGTGACAGCAGGAGACGGTGTTCTCCATGTCTTCACCCCCTGATCCTCCACCTCCAAGAACATGCCTCATGCCTGTGTGTGAGGTAGAGCTTCCCTGTCTAGCAGTTACGGTCCTTAAGACTCCCCTGAAGCCCTCTTGACAGGAACCTTCATGATGGGTGTGACATCCCTTACAGTCTCTTCCTGATGGTTAGTGACAGCTGTCCATGTGACACAGTCTATAGTTTCCAGGGATGCATCTCAGTGAGTTGTCTAGACCAGGTTGGCCTATGGGAATTTGTCTTGATTGTGTTCACTGAGATGGGGGAGATGAAGCCTACAAATGGGTGGTCCCACTCCCTGCGTTTGGGTCTTTGAATGTATAAAAAGTATAGAGCCAGATGAGCACAGGCCTGCATGCCTTCACGCTTTCCGCTCTCAGCTCTCGGCTTCCAGTTTCTCCTGCCTCAACTCCTCTTCCATGATGGACTCTAACTTGGAGCTGTAAGCCTAAAGAAAGCATTCCTGCTCTAAGTTGCTCTTTACCACCGCAGCAGAACAGAAAATAAGGACACTAGCAGAGACAGTGATGGCATGCTGTCACACTTATTGTAACCACAGCTGCCAGCCACCTAGACCCAAGAACCCCATCGAAGGCTAGCATCTCCATTTCCCATGCTTGCTTCCTCTAAACTTCCTCTTCTGTTCCTTAGCCCGGGGAACCTGGCCTCAGTGTGGGCGTGGCTCTTCAGGCTTGCTGTAGATTTGGGGTGGTGCTGTCCACTGCTGAGGGCTTGAGAGGAGGTATTGGGCTCCTGCTATCTGTCCTCTTAGGATAGATCCTCCACACAGTAGGATGGGTGCAAGCTACGTGTCCTTATGTTACCACTGCGATGCAGTGCAGTGACTTCTCTCACTCATCACCCCCTGGATCCCTTGCAGCAATTATGTCCCTCTTGGAAAGTGTCAGCCTGTTTGTAGAAATGGGGTATGTGTGGTGAACTGACCTCTCATACCCCCTAATGTGAAAGCCATTTGTGCAGTCATGTTGAGATTTAGAAGACTTCCTGTGTGGACTCCCGGGATGCATGCACATAGTAGGCCAAGTTGCTCTTCAGCTTCTCCCTCCATAGCCAGGTAACAGGAGATGGGCTGGGGTTTCAGAGATGCCAACTGTGTCATTTATGGCCTTCTCAGAGCCACAGACTCCCGAGTTTCTGGGAATGACCCCTTCTTACTGGTATGTGCGTGATGCACACCTGTTAATGAGGAAATAAAATAGTCTCATGTTATAGTAAAAAGAAGGCTTATCGACAGCACATGCCAATGCTTTGGCCAGTCTCAAACTGTAAGGTATAAAAATTAAGCCCAAGTATTCAGATGCAGTTGAAAGACCCATTTGATGTGGTTTTATTTCCCATCAAAGAGCGCTATCTCATAACACAGAGCCAATTCCTGTAGCCAACTTTGCTTTGCTTCAATCAGATAAAGAGGTACCCTGGAGAATGCCATTTATCTAGCCTACTCCCAGCCGTCAATTCTAGGGAGAGGCTTACTACCTACTGGAGAGACCCGGCTGCCAGTCAGTTGCTGGGGCAGGAATGAGACGTCTTCTTGGTGCGTCCACAGTTACCACTCCCTTCCATCAGGATGGAGGCAAGAATCCACTAACCAATGGTCACCCATCACAAGGGAAGTTAGCCTCTGTTGGGTGGTGAGAGACTAAGATGAGAAGACATGAGCTCCTCTCTGGAGCTCACTGAAGTCTGAGGGGATTAGAGTCCAGGGAGCTGTGAGGGTCTTTCTAGTTGTCTGGTGGTGAAACCAATGGACAATCATCTATAGCAACTCCCTTGACACTCAGCAGAAGAGTGTGTTCTAGGGCAGTGGTACTCAACCTTCCTGACGCTGAGACCCTTTAGTACAGTTCCTCGTGTTGTGGTCACCCCAACCATAGAATTACTTTCATTGCTTTTACAGAACTGTAATTTTGCTATTTTTATGAATCATAATGCAAATATCCGTGATTTCTCATGGTGGTAGGAAACCCAGGTGAAAGTGTCTTTTGACCCCAAAGGGGTCACGATCATATGTTGAGAACCACTCAGGAGGTATGGAGGCAATTGGTGGGTTTGATGAGAACAAGGGACTCCTATGGAAGGATCACTGATAGAGTGAAGGAGACATTTCTCCCACTGCTTCTCCTGGGTGCAGGGACATTAAACGTCGCCTCTAGGATAGCAATGAAGATCCTGAGAAGTGAGCTTAAGAAAGTTTCATTCTAATTTTGCTTGTTGGTCAAAAGCCTTGGTAGGATAATCAAATTGCTACTCTGCCATTCACCTCCTGTGTTAGATTTTTTTCTCCCTAACACGCTTTCTCTAGTCATGTGATTTGAGGGTGTAGACTGTGGCTTCTCTATCACTATGATTTTAAGGCCATTTCAATGGTGTTGCAGTGCTAGCAAATCACAGGACTTCATCTTCTGCTGTGTCCTCTGATTGGCTGGGGGATTAGCACACCTTAGAGTCCCCAATCAAAGAGCAACAGACTGATTCACCTAATCACAGGTGTTTGCCTCTGGGGGGCCTGCCAACTATAAATAAAGGGTCTGTTTATTTGCTAACAAACAAGGAACCAGAAGATCTTCATTGTAAGTGATGGGATGAGAACACTTTTAGGGAAAGGAGATTTAATCTTGAGTCTGCTGATTCCCTCTAAAAAAGTGGTTCTCAACCTGCAGGTAGTGACTCCTTGGGAGTCAAACAACCCTGTCACAGGGGTCACCAGAAAACACAGATAGGTACATTATAATTCTTAACAGTGACAAAATTGCAGTTATTAAGTAACAACAAAATTAATTTTGTGGCTGGGTATCACCACAACATGAAGAACTGTATTAATGAGTCACAGCTTTAGGAAGGTTGAGACCCAATGCACTAAAGGGTCTACAGGAAAACAAAGTATCTGGTAATTAGGGCTCATTAGTCAAATCTTGACTTACTTCAAGGAGTACTACTTTGTGTCAGTAACTAGGATGTTTGTGAAAATATAACATGGGGTAATGGCAATGTGTTTACATGAATTTTAGGGGTAAAAGGTAAAGCACACATTACATGTAAGAAGTCTGCTCACCATCTGTGTTTTGGGAGGGAAAGTCTGCTTTTCAAGCCCGTTTGTTAGAACTGAGGAAGTTGTTGGAGATTTTGAGTAAATAAGGAAGCAGAGGCATAGAGAAAAGAAGGGATGATGTGTGCTGTCCACCTGTGAGCTAGCTGCAATGTGACTCTAGCCAAAAGTCCTGATTCTGTATACAACTTCCATCACCCCACCCCACCCCAACCTAGGCTTATGATTTTCTCAAAGGGGAACAAAAGAGGCAGCATGAATTTGGAAAATAGAAGAGTGCCTCAAGGTTCAACTGCATTGTGAGATGAGTTGGCTGTCCTGGAGCCAGCAGAAAAGGGTATGTGCCTGAACTCGTCCTTAGCTTATTGGCTGGTGCATCAACATGAGCTCATTCTCAGGTATTTTACTATAGATGGTCCATGGTGATACTCGAGTCTTGCCATTCCTTGTGTATCTGTCAAGACGCTTTTATAATACAATTAGAAGAGAGCTGTATGGGGAAAATATTCCTGAAGGTAATATGGGCGGGGCTCTGGATTGACCGTAAGTGCATCCCCTGCACACACAAGGCAGAGGGCAGCAGTTGTCCCAAGGTAGCCAAGTCTATTTTGAGTTGCACTGCATTTGACACACTACCTTCACACACAGCCATCACCGTTACCACCAGCACTATCACTGCCACCGCCAGCATCATCATTGTCACCACAATAATCACCACCACTGTGATGATTTGAATGAGAATGGTCTCCCCAGGCTCATATGTTTGAATACTTGGTCCCTAGTTAGTGGTACTGTTTGGGAAGGAATAGGTGTGGTCTTGCTGGAGGTGGGTGTATCCCAGAGAGTGGGCTTTGGGTTTTCAAAAGACTCATATGATTCCCAGTCCTCCCTCCTCTCTGCCTCATGGTTGTGGATCAGGATGTGAGCTCTCAGCTGTTCCCTTTGCTCCACCTCAATGAACTCTACCCCTCTGGAAACATAAGCCAAATAAAATGCTTTACTTTTTAGTTGCCTTGGTCTTTGTATTTTATTACAGCAGTGGAAAAGTAATTGAGACCACCATAATCACTGTCATCATCACTACAAAAACACCACCAATCACTTCCACTGCTGGTATTATCATCACCACTGTCACCATCACCACCACCACAGGACCATCAATCACTGCCGCTACCATTAACACCACGTATCCATCATTATATCCACCACCAGCACCATTATGATCATCACCAACACCACAGTCATCATCGCCACTAGCACCCCAGCACCATTATTCAGTACCATTACCATCCATATCCCAACACCATCATTATCATCATCATCACCACTGCCCACTACCACCATTATCAACACTCCATCTCCGTCGCTGCTACCACTGTCACCATCACTACCGCCACTCTCAACTCTTGCAACAGAGAACACAGCAGTTTTTATGTAGGAGATAAAGAGTGTTCCTTTAACTCTGACTCTGCATGACTGAGGTCTCACCATTTCAAGTTGTATCTCTGATGTTCAAGAATAGGGGGAGAATGGTCAATGGTTTCGTCTCCTCTAGAGGTACAGATTACTGTGTTCCCTTACCCAGCACTCATAGGAGCAGGGAGACCATTGCGTTCTCTTCAGCAGAAGATGTACTTATCCAGGACAAGAAAATTGGTTTAAACACAATGCAAAGTTTAGGCAATGTGTCTTGGCTGGATCTTGATGAATCTGGATCTGGAGGATCCCTTTTCTTTAAATAATGATTGTAGTATATTAATATCAACCTTTGTTACTAGTTATAAGTTATCATTTTTTAATCATTGCTGTCATGTATATCTTCTTAAGCTCCTTTCTATAGATATGAACTCCAGGTGTCTCTGCTCTTCAAATCAGTGAAGTTAATGTATTTCCCCTCTGAACCTAACCTTGAATTATCCTTCCGTATTATTGGTGGGATGGTTGATATTTACAAATTGTCCTTCAGAAAAAAGACCCTTTCGTTGTGTAGCATTTGTTGAGTTCCCTGTTGTGAATGCTCCCAGCATGGGTTATTTGAATTAAGGGCTGGACACAGATGGGAAGCACCACAGCAGACCCAACAGACAGTGATGCAAACAGCATGGACAGAACAGACCATTGTAGACCAGGAGAAAGGAGTAGACTGTGGTAGGTTTGGGAACTCTTGCTCTCCTTGTGTTAAAGATAATTCTTAAATGTGATTTTATTTTATACATTCTAAGAAGTCACTTGTAGGTGAGTATGCTTGCTTTTCTCTATGTGAGGGACCCAACATTCCTCTTCTAGAGAACAGTCTATAGAAAGATGCCACCTTTTGACTTATTTGATATCCAACAGCCTGGCACATTGAGGTCATCTGTGCCCTGAGGCCTCACTTGCCCTCTGGGAGCTCTGTGGTTTAGACCCCCACTTCCTCCCCCTTTGTGTCTCCCAGTTCTCCAATCTCGTGTCTTCCTTCAGAATGCTTTCATTGATAATAATCTTGGAGCTAAATCTAGATCCTCTGGTCTTCTCCATCCTCTTCTTTTCAATTGTCTTGGGTGCTGGTTGGGGTCGCCTCAGTCTGTCACTCTGAGTCCTCTATGAAATGGAAACGACTCGACATGCTGATATGGAGGAGGAGTCCTTTGAAGAAATGGGTTCATAAGACTGGAGGTGCAGGCCCACTTTCTGCAGGTTTGGGGCTGATGAGGATCTGCAGGTGGAATCTGAGCATCACTGTGGGCAGGCTTCTTTCTTACTTTGACGCAAGTATTTGTTGCATCACAGCCTTGGGAAGCTTAGCTCAGGTCAAGCCCCATTGTGGAGGGAAGTCTGTTTGTGTTACTCAGTGTACTGATTGAAATGGAGACCTTCTGATAAGCAACTACACAGAGCCATCTGGAACAATGATCAAACATCCCAGTGCCATGGCCTAGCCAGGTCAGAGTACAAGATCATAACACTAAAGAACGCCAAAGACCTTTGTTCTGCCTGAACATTGAAATGAACAGGTTATATGGATGCCCTTCTCAGAGGGGAACAGAAAGATGCCCCCACTCCATGGAGCTGCCTGGAGATGTAACTAGGTTCAGTCAAACCATGAGGTAACCCCTCTTAGGTGTTTTTTAAATTGTTATTGTTTGTAAAT